ATTTCATTGCGGCAACAAGGCCACTAGTTGTTCACTTTGTTTTTCTTATTCCTTATCTTTCTAATGTAGCGATAAAAAGCTTAAATGGATTTCAATTCGAATATAATCGCAATGCTATCAATGTTTTGGCAGAAGCCTGTTCAAAACATTGCAAATTTAACTCAGCCAAAATTCTATTACAGGTGACATTAGAACAAACAAAGAGCATTCATGGCAAAAAAAGCACTCATTTCGCAAATTGGCTGAACGACTTTGGACTAGTTTTGCGTGATCTTGGTGAGTATGAGAACGCCAAAGTTCACTTGGAGAGAGCACTTGCCATTGATAAAATTTAATTATTATAAGAATCATCCATCTATTTCAACTAAATTGAGTAACCTTGGACTATTATTTCGTGATCTTGGTTCATATCAAAGAATTGTATGTCATTCGTGTGGATCTTTGTGCTTTTTAGTTTTGGGCTATATGGCCAAATAGAGTACTCAAGTGTGAGGAAACGAAAGGAACAAGACCAAAGTTACAAGCGTTTGTATTTGTCCAAAGATTATTCGACCATTCGATTATTCGACACTTATAGCTATCATGACGATTAGAGTGGTTTTCTGTCAACCATGAAAGCACAAGAAGTCTTATAGTTAGTAGTAGTTTGTATAATAGACCAATACTAATAGTCTAGCTTGTATCCAATTGATATAGGTAGAGTGCTCGCACTAAATTAAATATAAATACTACAAAATTGGTGATAAATTATACAAATTCCTTTGTTTCCTATTGTATAATCAACACTATTTCGTAGTAATTAGTACTTGTTTCATGCTTTAAGTGCAAGCACTCTATAAACATTCATCACCAAAACAATTTTTTTTTTTAATGGTCGTTTTTGTTATGGTAACTAATTGAACTAAACGTTTAATTTATTCAAACTGTTGTTTGTTAGCTATTCGTTTATAGTTTATATGCCTAAAAGTTATATTGACTAGTCTAGTACTCATTGCTACTAACTAGTTGGTCTTTTTCTTTTCATGGTTGACGGAAAACCACTCTATTAGAGTACAAACATTAAATGTGTGCAACACTTTCCACTATTTACTACAAAATAGTGTTAATCAAACAATAGAAAACAATAGAATTAGCATAATTCAGCAGTATTTAGTGGTATTTATGTTTGTTTTAGTGTTTGTACTGTAATAGAGCTGCACAAGACAAGTAATCTGCAACAGTTACCAAGAAAGTTTTAAGTTTTTAAATATCAGAAATCAATTTCGTTTGGATTTTATTCGCTAGACAAGAACTCAATTATGAACTGGACAGCGCTTTTCAGTTCGTACAACCTAACCCAGACTTTTACTGTTAATTTGTCAAAACGCTCAAATATTGGGCTATAGTAATATCTCAACCGTCATACTATGTCAGATTTCTCGTCACTCATTAGCGATATCAAAAATTGTATACATATGACCATAAAACTGCGTTTATCAGCAATAATCAAAAGAGATTAGACTCGATTCCTTCACATAGCTTTGTCTTAAAATAGAAAGAGTATACGCATAATTACAAAACTTTGTCCATGAAAAAGAACTTTTTCTATTTTGGAATTAAAAACAAAAACAAAACAAAACACAAAAGTTTTCTKCTTTAGTTGATTTCAATTTTTACGTTGCTAAATCACTAAATCTTAGGACAAGATTTTTGTAATTCGGTGTATATGCAG